CATAATTTAATAGTCTGGAATGATCAAAATTCGGTGAAGATTCCAAAAATAGCATCAGAATTTTGAAATTCAAGCGTTTTGGCGTCCAAACAGGGGCAAATACTGTGCCGCACGGTCGCGTTGCGGTCGCATCTGGCTATTTGCCAGGAATCACAGCAGGGGGCCGTGGACCAGATTTCGGAGCCCCTTTAAGGAAATTTGAATTTGAAAGTTCTAGCGATTAACGAGAAGTATTTAATTTTAAGATTATTTAAGATTATTTAAAATCGAGGAAGATAGATATCGACGGATATCTGGGTAGTCGATGTTAGATTAAATTCATTTCGGAATTTTAAATACGCCAGATTAGTACATGTAGTACGATACATTTTGATACATCTAGAGAAAATCCGGTCGCGGTGACATAAAAATTCATAAAGGAAAAAAGACGGCTCAAGTCTAGGAAACCCCCCCCCCCCAGCCGACTTTTCAACTTTTCTACCTTCCTTATTTTTATTTTTCGCTACTTTTTTTGACTGAACTGCAATGTAGTCTTACTAATTAGCCTACGGCGAACATTTTGGTATACTTTCGAGCTCGCTAGCATGCAGGGAAGCCGAGATACAAAGTTGGTGCCGGCTGGGGAAGGCTCTAGACCTCTTACGATAAAGACGCCGGAGGGGGTCGAACCCGGACGGGATCGAACCGTAGGGCTGCTCAAGCAAAAGACCAGGTTTAAATTGAGGTTGTAGAATAACGTGAAATCGACTATTCGTGAGCGAAGATTTGCAAAATAAGATGCAAATTCCCCCGAAGTAAAAGATTTTTTGGACTTCGTAAGGACGCCGGAGCCGGCAGAGTTTTCAATTTCTCGGCCAGGCCCGGCCCGGCCCGAAAAATGCCGATTTTCCTCGGCCTGGTCCGGCCGGACCCGGACCCTGGAAATTTTGGCGGGTCCGTTCAAAATTTTCAAACCTGGTGGCAAGGCGACACCAACTCCGATTCTCCACCCTTCGCGAGAGACTTTGCTCCAAGCGCTGTACTTTTTTGGGCCGAGATGTCGGGAATTGTGAATTTTCAAAAATTTCGTAAACCTTTTTATTCCCAACGTCTGCGCGTTATGATTCTATTTTTATAGGAAACAGGGGAAGACAAAGAAGATACGGTATGGGCTACTTTGGGGCAGGGGATGAGCGTGAAAGAGAGAGAGAGAGAGAGTAGCGGGTTGCCCGGGGTGAGTTTTGTTTGCACGGAATGGTCTGAGGTCAACAACTGAAATCGTTTTCCATTTTCGAAGTTCTACGGTTGGCTAGAATTTCGAAAACGCATTTGGAAAAGACAAAGTCTATTGTACGGTACTGAAACGCAACTTATTTCACCGGGGCCCCGCACTCAATACTCAATAGATCACGATCACAAATCGCACCAGGCAAAGAATCACAACAGATAATGAGACATGGATATCGGGGCGTGGGTTTTGTCGTGTGTCGTTTCGTTGGGGTAGGTCCGCCTTCACGGACGCCTATGACGGCGCTTGGGCTGCGGCTGAAAAGCAACAATCAACACAACCATTATGCGCACGCGAAAGTTCGGGCCAATGGGCTTTTTGTTGGCAACTAACACTAATAAGTAGCTCGTAATTGAATGTAAAGCATTTTCACTTAACTTGGAATTGCGCTTCAGGACGAAATGCATTTTGTGTAGAATTTCCTGCTGATTCCGAACCCGTTTGCCAAATATTGTTTCGCGCCTTGATTTATAAGTCCTTTCAGTTTAAGTTTAAACGGCCGTCCTGCACAACATGTTTTGGTTTTTGCATGGAAAAACTATGTTTTACCTCGTAAATTCATAGTTCTGACTGCAAAGCGCTTAAGCAGCCAATTCTAACGGATAAAAATCATCAAAAAGCGAAAATTGACCCACAAATCTTGATTTTGACAAAAAATTGAATTTTATCATAACGGCTGAACGACTTTTTAAATAGAACCCTGCAGCAAATTAGGAAATCGGGTTTTGAACCAGCGAAAAATTCTTGCAGCAGAACCAACAAAAAAGCACTTGGTCCCGGGTCGAAATTCCAGGTTACCAAAAACGCTTTACGTTCAGCTACGAGCTACTAAATAGTGTTAGTTGCCAGCGATAGGCCAATTAGCCCCAATTTGCACCTGTGTTGTTAAATTTTTAAAAACTCTTTCCATTGAGCCTTGAAAAGGGGGGATGGGAGGGGGATTCCCTGACCTGATTCCAGGCTGGTCTAGTTTCTTTTTCAAAATACCATCGGAAAGGGCGTTTCCTGAGCAACTCATTTCACAACGATTTCCGGCATGCCACGAAATAAACGGGCTTTCATCTTTTTATTTTCCCGTCTATGCCAGATTGTGAAGAAGCAAAATCTTTTTTTTGAACTTTTTTTTAGTTTTTAGTGGTACGTAGCTAAAAATATATAAAAAGCTTGTTTATTTTTTCGAAAATTTGAAGATTTAAAAACCATGCAAATGCTATAAAATAGTTGGGATTACCTATCATTATCTCGAAAATCAACATCTCGAAAATCAATATCTCGAAAACAAACATCTCGAAAGTTCATTATCTCGAAAGTTAATTATCTCGAAAGTTCGTTATCTCGAAAGTTCGTTATCTCGAAAGTTCGTTATCTCGAAAGTTAATTATCTCGTATTATTATCTTTCTACTCGAATACGAGATAATTAACTTTCGAGATAATGAACTTTCGAGATAATTAGCTTTCGAGATAATGAACTTTCGAGATAATGAACTTTCGAGATAATGAACTTTCGAGATAACGAACTTTCGAGATGTTTATTTTCGAGATGTTGATTTTCGAGATAATGATCAATCCCCAATAGTTGGTTCTGGACTGTTAGCGGGGGACCAAATTTTCCCTCTGATTTTCTACGGCCCTATTTATATAAATATATAAACAGTTTTTATCGCTTTTTACAGAGTTTTTAAGACAAAAGAGAGGGTATAAAACAAAATAAAAATTAAAACAAATTTTGAAGATTTTTGACAAAAGATATTTTTTTATAAGGTTTAGCAATCAAAAAATACGAAAAACACTATAAAAATACATAATATGCCTAAACAGGTGGGTCAAAATAGAAAGTGGTTTTCCCGCTGCTAAAAATTGCCCCTACCCCCGTTAAGAGTCCAGAACCAATTAGTTTATATTTTGTCATAGGGCCATAGATATCTGGGAACTGGCTCACCCCGTCAACCACCCCCCTCCCCGCCGTTGTCCGGGAAGAACCGAAAAAACAGGCGTACCAACTGCTCGTTGATACGCTGGCGCGCTTCGATCGCAGCCAGGCGCTGGCGGGGTGGGCTCAGCGACCTGCGGCCCATGCGGTCGGGTGGGTGCAGCACGACATCACCCCGGATTGGCGACTCGGAGAGGGATCGGCGGGCCATCTATAATCGGAGCAAGATGGTAAAATAAAAATATTGTGTGTTTAAAACGCCGAGAACAAAGAATAGAATGAGATGGGGAGCAAAACAGCGAATGAGAGCGAAAGAAAGAGAGAGAGAGAGAGAGAGAGAGAGAGAGAGAGAGAGAGAGAGAGAGAGAGCGATAGCGAACCAATCCTGGCCCTGTCTAGGGCCTATGAAAGTATTTACTTTGCATAAATCTTGCAGAAGCAAATCACAAAAAAAATTAAAACCGCGCCCACTTTTCCACCACCTAGGTAGTCGGTACTTCCGGCCTATGCTAATCGTCTGCTAACAAAAAAGGGTGGTGAAGAATATCTATCTATCTAAAAACCCTGTATGAGGCTGTAGGTGCGGATCATCGTCATGGAAGTTGCATGCAAATACACACAGACACACAGACACTATTTTTTAAATATAGTAAGAAGAGACCTGGTTGACCAGCTGAGCGTTGATGATGGCGACATCGGGTGACGCTTCGCGAGGAAGATCGTGTTGTGGTGCCTATAATCAAAGTCAACGTATGAAAATTCTAAAAGCGCGAACGAGAGAGGTACGGAGAGCGAGAGAGCGAGGGAGCGAGAGGGCGAGAGAGAGAAAGAGAGAGAGGGAAGCTAATTAGTGTCGTTGAATGATACATCAGCAGAGTGCCTGGATTGTCTTGTTCTCCTTCGCCCTCTCGCTCTATCTCTGACTCTCTCTTACTTAGTCTTTTGGTCTTTTGGGAGAAAGGCTTAAAAGGCCGTTTGCGACAAACGGCGAACAAGGCTTGGCACAGTTTTTTTCGACCCTATTTTTTTGACGCCATCTGAAAGAGCATGGTTGAATTAGTAGGGTGGCATATTTTTGAAAGTTTAAAAAGTTTAATTTTGGGGTTAAAATGGGCCTCAAAGTTGCCGACACCGAAAAATATATCGAGAACTACTTGACAGAATCTTCTGAAAATTTGTGTCAGTACCTAATTTGGGGTGGGGGTCATTTCTCTGATACATCGCGAAGCTCGAAAATGCCCGGAACATAGGTGTATTGCGTACACAAAACAGTTTTTCCGTTCTGTCCGGAACTGGGCGATCGGGCGGCTCTGTAGATTACTGTAGAAAGATGCGCAAGGAAATTCTGCATCGAATGGTGTATCAAACTAGAGCCGCCCGATCGCCCAGGTCGCGCTATAAAGCATTTACTAGGCAAAAATTGGCCCAAAAGAGGCTCCGAAAACTTATAAACTTCAAAATGAGTTTCACGATGTTACTATCCAGGGTTGAAAAACCGCTTCGCGGCACTGAAAACAGTGTGCAATGCTATGGAAATTTTTTAAACTTAATTACTTGAGCCCTAAACCGTCTTCCCTGCTCCCTCGTTAAAAATTTGCTCCCCCGCTGACACGGGGGCACCATCTTATCGTATACAACTATCCGGAAGGTTGTGCTACCCACAACTCGGGCGGGTGGCTGAGCGGCTTGGACGAGTAGTTCATCCTGCTGCAGGGCGTCCACTGGGTGGGGGCTCGGAGAACGGTTTGTGTAGTCGCTACGCGGGGTCACCTGAATTTTTGTGACGGAACCCAACAAGTTTATACGGGCTCCGGGTCGTAGGCGACGAGTGGGCGCAAGTCAACAAAGTCTTGGCCGCGAACCTGCGCGATGCGCGTCTCCAGTTCTTGTTTCTAAAGAATTGTGGTGTTCTGGAATGCTAGTGGGGGGAGAAACGAAACTTTTCCCTGTGAAGTTCTATACCTATAAAAAACATAGACCATTTTAGGATTTTACACAGTGTTTAGATCAAAACAAAGTCAAAAACACATTGTTCGAAGATGTTGGACTTTTTGGTCAAAAATGTATGAAAAATGGCCAAAAAAGGTCAACATTTCAAATTTACAAATTTTTTAAGACGATTTTAATAACTTGCTAGCAAGCAAACTATAAAAAAGCACCATAAAAAAGCAAAGATTTCACCAACAGGTATCAATCGTCGGAAAAAAAATTCGAAACCCCCCCCCCCGCGAACTTGAATAGTACCGAAACCGCACCCCAATTTATATCCAAAAACTCGGAACCGAGGGAAAAATTCGGATACGGCAAAACGTACCTGCGTCTTCGCCTGCTCGGCAAGCTGTTGAGCTTCACGGGTCCCCTTGATCTTGCCGCGGGCCTGCAAGTCACTTGAGCTGATCAAAGATTTGTAATCTTACAAACTCGAACAGGCTCGGGATATGTTCTAAGAGACTCTTCACCACGCCCGTCAGCATCAGTTCGGTCCGGTCCAAGAGTCGATCAAACTGAAAATGAAGATCTGTCGGGGAAAGGACTGCCGACTTTGAATGAAAATGAAATGGAAAAAAGCCCCTTCGCGGCCCGGTCGCTACTGGGCCCCGCCTTGAACCTATGATCGTAACTTCGCCTCTTCTGCACAAATTCTATCAACAAAAATCAGCATCGCCTCTGCCCTTTTTATGGACTATATCCACTTCCGACCAATGCAAGTTTCGACTAACAAAGGTATTTTTATAAATTTTTACAAATGCCGAAACAAGCCAATTTTCAAATTTGCAAATTTCTATGAAACATGCCTTAACATAAACATAAACACGCGTGCATGACCCGCGGTCAGTGGAACATACATCCGGAACGCAAATCTACACAGACACACAGACTATTTTTTATCTAGCGGGGTTCAAAAGCTGCTCCGCTATATTAGGATTGGATCCTAAAAGGAAAAAGTTTATTTAGCCACCCATTCCCCCGTCTCCCCCGGCCCCTTAGCTCCTCAGAAATGCCCACCTCTCGCAACTTTTCGGGGCTGTAGATTTCGTTCGCTCCATCGGCCTTACCTTCTCTTTCGGCGTTTTTTAGCATCTGAAGCACCTCTGTCAGCATCAGGCCATCACTCACTCTCGCTCCCGCTCTTTACTCACTCACTCACTCTCCCTCGCTCACTCTCTCATTCTCGCACTCACTCTCCCTCGCTCACTCTCTCATTCTCGCACTCACTCTCTCATTCTCTCGCGCTCTCTCTCATCCTCTCTCTCTCCCCTCTCTCTTTCTCTCTCTCTCTCTCTCTCTCTCTCTCTCTCTCCCTCTCCCTCTCCCTCCCGCTCCCATTTTCCTACCTCAGGAAGAGCTGCGGGCCTACGCTGACGGCGACGGCGCCCCTTGTGACGGCCGGGGGACTGCGCTGTAAAAAACAGGTTTGTGTAACAATTAAGGAGTGATTTTATATTGTTTTATTAAGATTACTGGGAGCACCAAATTCTTCCCGAAGGCCAGAAATTCCGCAGAAAAATAAGTATTTAAGTATTCAAACACAAAAAAATCCACTATAAATATTTCAAATAAAAAAAATTTAAAAAATTGCACAGAGGGTTTGGTTGACGTTTCCGTTGAAAATTGGCGATTCGCCCTAGAAAATAAAAAAAAACCAGATGTCTTGTATTTCAAAAAAATTTGTAATGGAGAATACGTTCCGCTCCACTGCCACTATTTATATATAAAAAAGGATTTTTTTTTTGATGCTCGCAACGGTTCGGCTAAAAAGTCTTTCTGGGGGCTCGGGGTTGCATGCATACCTCCGCACGCACGTCCCTAAATTCCCGATCCCATTTTGCGCAGGCGCGCACCACGCGCCAGACCTGAAACGCTTATAGATCCGGGGTAATATCAAGCAAAGGGGTATTTCATCACCGGGTTAAGTTTTCGGGTATACAGGATAACGGGAAGGGGGGCACTCGTAATGTTTTTTTTTTATTCTAAAACTCTTTTTAAATATGGTTTTGTTCGGGGCTATAAAAAGTAGGATTTAGTATATTTTTGGGCCCTCTATCGAATTGCATTTTCAAAATATCGAAAATATTCAAAACGCCGAAAATATCTTTGCTCCCCCGTTATCCTATTTGCTGCCCATAATTTTCAAAAATAGTTTGTAGGCTATAAAACTTTTATAATACATTTTTCGCTGTGTCAAAAATCTTGAAGTATGTTTCGTGACGTTTTATCGATTGGGTTTTAGCGATTTTTCAAAAAGGTTTTTCAAAAATGTTCAAAAACTCGAAAAAAAGATGATAAAGAGACAAGTTAACCGCGGTCCAATTCGTTTTCTTACGTGAGATATTTCAGTGAAAACAACGTTTTTTTTTATGCTCACCCTGTAGAACGTCAAAAAACTATGAGTTTTTTTCCAGCACTAAAAATGTAATATAAAAATTTATATTTTATTTCTATTCAGCTATCGGAGGTCGACGAGGTGGGGCTCATTAAATTTACCAGCGAGATGGAGGTGCAGAGCCCAAGAAGGAAGTCCACGAACAACGATAGGATCAGCGTGACTTTGTCGGCGCCGTTGTGCTAGAATATTTTAATCAGTATTTGATTGGCTAAAGCCTAGTTTATTCCCCCCCCACCCCCCGCCCAAGCCCAGCTAACCAGCCATGCGTTATATTAACGTTCTGAGTTCCTCAAGATTTCGAGATGGAAGAAATACCATAAAAAAAAGTTGTCGTTCATCCAAATGGCTAGAAAAATTTTATACGCTTTTAAAGGTTGAAAAGATTAGCCGCAGAAGCATCAGGCGTATATGTAAGCTACGCGGGGGAGACAATTTTAGTGACGCAAACAAAATTTGAAAAAACAGTTAGAAAAATGTTTGAAGAGCCGACATTTTCGTCTTTTGGGTCGAAAAACCAGTGGTACCCAAGAACCCCCCGCGAATACCCAGGAACCGAAACCCCATGCTTATCATTTTCATAAAAAGTTTCTAGTGATTTTTGACGCAATTAAACGATTTTTACTAGGGTCTTATAACATCTTATTAGACCACGGCGAAGAATTATATCTATTAAAAGCATAAAAATGCGCATGGATCGTGAAATGTAAGTTAATAGTCAATGTTTTAATATTGTTTTTTTTGTATTATAACCAGATTTAAATCGGCAAGGAAGAGAAAAAAAAGTTGGTCCCTCCACCAGCGAAATGGCAAAGGACCCGAATTTTCAATTTCGTAACACGAAAAGAATGCTCACCATTTTGAATGCGATGCGTACCCGCTGGAAAAATCACAGCACCAGCCAGCCAGCAAAGTTGACCACCGGTTACGGTGCGCGAGGCTCGTCTGTAACACGGTATCTAACCGGATTTAACGTTCATGATGATCCCAACGAGAAATCGTTTTCTTGGCGATTTATACCTATTAAGTCGCCGTTTTCAGGTGCTCTTCGAGATTTGCGAAATAACATAGCCGTTCGAGAGGGCTTGAAAATCAGAACAAATCTCTCCCCCTTTCAAAGGTGACGGATCATCTGTTGGCAAAGCATGTGCTCGAAAATCGTTATTTTAAGTGTTTTTATTATTTAGCCATGGGCGCTGGAATCCGTGTTTGGCAGATGAGATGTGACTTTGCCAACGGCTGCTTCGGACCCCTCTCCTCTTACCGGCCACGCACGCGCGTACAACTGGGAAGAATCAGGAATTTCTATTTTGCAGATTATGCAAATGAGCCCAAACAATAAAACCGGCTCAAACTTTGTAAACTTGTATTTTATCAAAATTCGAAAAAGCGAAAAGCGGCGGGTCGATTACCCCTCGTACTGGAGAATTAGGGCATTTTATGCGCGGAAGGGCCGGCAAATCGGGCTTCGAAAGGACCAGCTGCACACAAACACACACCTACAGACTCGCCAAAATTATATAAGGTAGGGTTCCGCATGAAAAATTTGCGAACAGATGACTTTTGGAACAGATGATTTTCGACAGGTGTTTTTCGACCGACGATTTTTGAACAGACGATAGGAGGTGGGCGAGTGCTTCTCCGTTGCAGTTACAATAAAAGTTACCACTGTATATCCCCTGATTGTAGAATCGGAGCCGGGCGGGGAGCAGTAGGAAGGGCCGAACAGCTGGTCCCACCAGAATCGAGGAAGGATGAAGTTGTCTCGTTTTTCGGGGGAAGGGTATTTCCGGATTTGGTATCTAGATTCAAATTTGTCGGCCCAGACACGCTCAATGCATTTTGGCAGCGCAAACATTGACCGATGTTAATTTATTGATTCAACCTATGCAAATTGATGGCACTTGGGAATTTTAAAAGTCCGTCCGCGAGTCACCCGAAACGGGCTTCAATGCTTATGGCTTGATTTTCGAATTTTTTACGACTCTTCCCCAATTTCACTCGTGTTTGAGAACCATCGGAGGGGAGTACGTCTGAATTAGTGGGGCTCTATGGTTTGGAAAGTGTGAGAAGCGTAATTTGAGGGGAGAGAAAGAGAGAGGGGGAGAGAGAGAAAGGGATAGAGGGAGAGAGAGAGAGAGAGAGAGAAGAGAGAGAGAGAGAGAAAGGGAGAGAGGGAGAGAGTGTGCGGTTCCACCTGATGGCGAAAATACAATTAAGTGCAATGGTCGCGGAAAATTGTGTTTATCGGGCGGTGAGGCTGAGGAGTTGGTTCAAGCGATAGCGCCTGGTGAGGATGGGGAGTTTCAACCAGATCCGCGAAGAAAAGTGAGCGTCAAGATCCTAAAAATATATGTTGACCAGCGCCGAAAACCCGCTTCGCGGGCCTTGGGCGCTGGGTTTCGGTCTCTGCATGAGAAATTTGACTTTCTGATAGCTCGGGTCCGCCGGACCCCCCAAAATTTTTGAAAAACTTAGGGTCATGACAGTAAAAACAGTCTTAAAAACAACTATAAAAAGCGCCGCAGGAAAAAAATTTTCACGACAAAAAAATCATAAGGGTCCCCCTCATGAATTTTTCGGCCTTCGCGAGTCTGGCGGACCGAAGATAGGTCACATGAGACGAACCCAGCGCCGCACGGCCGCGGGCCTGGGCGCGGGTCGGCCCTTGGATTTGCTTCTGGCTCGGGTCCGCCGGACCCCAAATTTTGCTAGGTCATGACAGTACAGTCAACTATGCGCCGCAGGGGCTCACGAATCATGGGCCCCTCTGGGCCATTTTTTTGGGGGCAACTTGCCCCAGGTGACCCCCCTCCTACGGGCCTGTCCACACGCACAAAGATACACGCCAAAATTATATAAGGTCGGATTTTAAAGGGTCTGGAAAGTCTTAGAATCTACCCTTTGGTCGGCTAGGCCTCGACAACTACAGGTAGCGCTTAGGTCTTTCTTGTCCTAGTTACTTGAAGTTCACGCGAAATTTGGTTTCTGGCACACATCAGGCCGTTTTTGGAGGCGTAGCGAAGTTGTCGAGACCTAGTCTATCCAAGGAGTCGATTTTGGCTGTTCTCGCCCCTTTAAAAATATTTACCCAGCCAGCGCATTCCCAAAAGCCGGCAGAATAGCGGTGACGATGGTGAGGAACCAGCTGGTTTTCATGATGATGTTGTTTTCCTTCTCTATCGCCGCCATCGCTTCCTAAATAATTTGCCAGTTTGGTTGGTTCCTAAAGAATTAATTACATGACGTATCCTAATAAAAGGAAATTTGCATCAAAAAATTTTCCTCAAAACTTAATAAACAAAATACCGACTCGGTCCCATGTCCCGGCATAATAATCCTCCGTTGGCACGCTTTCGGCGCCATGAAACGACGATATCCATAGGCCGACCGCCCCGACGGCTATTGAATAACTGTGGTTGAAGATCATCTAAAAGCCGAATTCCAGCCATAATCCAGACAGCCAAAATCTCGACAGCCCTAATCCAGACAGCCATAATCCCGACAACCAAATTCCCTCGACAGCCATAATCTCGACAGCCAAATTCCCCCGACAGCCATAATCCCGACAGCCAAAACTCCGAAAGCCATAATCCCGACGGCCAAAATCCCGACAGCCAAAATCTGATATTTACGATCATTTTACCCATAATTCGGCCCCGCTTCTGGCTATCGGGATTTGGGCTGTCGGGATTTGGGCTGTCGGGATTTTGCCCGTCGGAATTTCCGCTGTCGGTATTATCCTGTCCGGCTTCCGGCTTTCAGGATTCCGGGTGTCGGTATTTGTGCCTGTCGGGATTATTTCCGTCGGGATCATGGTTTTCGGATTTTGACGGCTTCCCCTATTCTTTCGGTCACCTACTTACCTGCTTGGCCAGCTTCAAGTCGGCCCGGCTTTTCCCTTGCTTTTGGCTCGAATTTTGCTGATTTTTCGCCTAAAAATCACAGTACCACGTATGGAAAGCACTAACCAAGTGTCGGCGAATCAGGAAAAACGTAGTCAACTCAGCTGCCAAGCCTGTGAGCATAATCACCACCGTCACCACCCGGAATCCAAATAATATTGAACGATTTTCCGTCGATGCCTCGATCAAAAGCAGGGCGTAGCTGTGGTTTTCGAAGAATAGTTGGGTTTTCACTGAAATTATCTGAATTTCTAAGGCTAGGACTGTGGAAGGAAAACATCGAATTCCCGACAGCCATAATACCGACAGCCTAAATCTAGACAACGAAAATGCCGACAGCCAAAATCCCGATATGGGCAATAGCTTCTAAGAGGAAGTGAAATCAGTCTAGGATAAGTCGGGATTTTCGCGCATCGTGAGCATGGTTGTCTGCATTTTGGCTGTCGGCATTTCCGTTGTCGGCATTGTGGTCGTACTTCGACCGTGACGCAACCGCTACGCGTCACTATGACTTCCCAGCAAGTTTTTAAACGTACGGCTCAGCCAATAAAC